TGGGCTGAATTGCACAAAACGCATGATCGCACCGGCTAGCCTGGTGCGCGTTGCCATTTATTTAACAGTCTGCTCTCCTCTCCTCCTGTGTGAGTGTTGTGCACTGCATTTAGCTCGATGCTAATATGCTTCACTTGTTGAAACTAGTGCAGTTTGGAGGGATTTTGAATTCTGATTGAATTTTAATGGCCTTTTTTTGCGGGATGTTTTCTGAACCTGTACGCTTACGAGCTAATTGGTTTTCGAACCCTCTGTTACATATTATCATTGTTGCAGCACAATGTCGGTAGTGATAAATCAGTTGTGCTATGAGCTGCTGCCGCAGGATCCGTCGTTGCTGTTGGCTCTGAAATCGGTCGCGGATGTATTTGCGCACACTGTGCACATCTTCAAATCGTTCATTGAGCAATCACATCTGGCAATTGCAGACAGCATCAACTCATTTCTCAAAAAGTAATTTCATTTACAACTGTGATTGAACACCTTAATTTACAAGCTTAGCACGAGGAAACATGCGACCCTCTTGCTGATTTTCAGAAAGTGTATGATAATTTTCGTGTTTTTTTTTTAAAGCAGATCAGTTTAAACTTATTTTTAACTTATTGTTTGGCCTGATATCCTTGTCAGCCAGTACGCTGATGCCTGGAATCGAAGAATATACCGAACAGTAAAAGAGGTCGGCAACTGTGCTGAAAGCGAAAAAAGGGGATCGCAATGATGTCTGTATCTATTTTTTGGTTTATCTCTTCTTAAAAATGCGTAAAATTTTTTGTAGTTCTTGCTCGAATTGAAACCATTTTCAATGAAAACTTATAAAATGAATAAACAAACTTTATAGACGGCGGTTCTTCCCTATTGACCACGCGTCAGTCTGGCACTGATAGTCTCGCCTGAGTAGTTGCTGTTAGCACGGGCTATTGCTCGGACTTTTTTCGTGTGTCTCCGTCTTTCGTGATGAATACGAGAGGAGTTTCACCCTGATTTTTGACTTGGAAAATTAATGTACTAACTTCAGCACTGACTCTCTTTTGTAGTAAAATCCGTTTGTTCGTCCATTCATTCATGCGTCAGCGAAATAAAGGAACTAGTGGTGTACCGATGGGACCACAGTTACCGATGGAATAAGGCAGCGAACCGACTCCTGTTAATCGTAGATGCAGCGTACGTTTTTCAGTGAGCGACTGAAAGTCACCGAAACGCATTGTCATTTCGAAAGTTTGTCGAATTCACTGGACGAAGCACTTTCGAAGCGTGCAGCGGTGCACCGAGCACGGCCAACGGAGGTGGCTGACGCAAGAAATGCACTGACTGCCGTTGGCACATGCTTCGCGCACACTGCGCTGGACTATGTCGCCCAGATTAACATTGCCCATGCACACAAGGACCATCTGATCCTCGATGCTGTAAGTTATTTCATGCCCCCCCCCCCCCTCTTCACATCTCCGGAATGTGTGAATTGGCTGTGCACTGCATTTTGCTGCATTTAAAAGTTCCATGCACAACTCTTTCACAGTTTAAAAAGGCAGTATGATGTTTTTGGGAAGAGGGGGAGAGGCTCGAAGCTTTCCACTGTTCAATTACTGGGCCATAACGTAGACGTGTGTGTTTTAGTTGTGGTCGTTTGCCAAAGAATGCAATACGTTTTTCTCGCGTGGGCATGCATTTTTCGATGAATGGACAGCGGTGGAGAGTGGTGCAATAGCCGACACATTATCGTTGCTTGAAAGCAAAAATAAGTATGTGAAAAGGAAAATGCAAGATCGACATGCACTGGTGCCAAAGGTAATTTGAAAATCTGTCGATTTGCTGAATTCCTCAAACAACTTTGTTCTTATTCAGTTCACTGTAACTTGCTTAAGGAAGTGTTTCTTCATCCGACGGGCATCTCGCCAGAAGATGATGTGGTCATGGAAGGATATCTTTTTAAACGAGCCACTAATGCGTTTAAAACATGGCATCGACGCTGGTTCCAAATCAAGGATAATAAATTAGTATGACTTTGTTACATATTTTACCACTTTATTTTGCAAATAGCCCCATCCGAATGTCGCAAAAATCTTCATCATAATTCACTTTTTACGGGACACAGTGGTATTTGAAAGTGTTTTTTTTGGATAACGTTTTGCCAGCGAGGACCCCTCTATACTATCTCTTAGCTGGCGTATGATGGCTTCGTATTTTGAGGATTACTTAGAAGGGAGCTGAAAGCGATCCTGACTCTGGTGCTTACTAGCAATAATTTATAATTGAAATGATCAAGAAGTGTAGAGGGTAGTTGTTCTGATTGCCTGTTTCATCGGCGCAGATGCGGAGGCAAGAAAGTGAAAGTTATGGTATTTTTGATTTCCGACCAACACAAACTTTACTGGAACTTGAATAATTAACGCGTTGTTTAGATCTATTCTCATCGATCGGACGCATTTGAAACACCAACTGTCATGGAGGCTGATTTAAAGTTGTGCCTTGTAAGACCGGCACCTCCCAATTTTGAACGGACAAGTTGCTTTGAATTGGTCACTCCAACCAGGTCTGCTTAATGTTTGAAAGAGGAAGTGATGATATATTTGCACTTAAGGGATTGTGATGAATGGACTAATTGCAATAATAGAAAATCATTGAGAGAGGCAAAAAATCGTAAATTTTCAAATTCGTGTCAATTAGTCTGAAAGCGAGAATCTTGTTTTTCTTATCCGCTGTTTATGAAACGCGGAAACACTTGGATTTAGTCCAAGTGGGCAACAAATGCTGCTAGCAAGCATATGCTGGCAAGACTCTTAGTAGATCCCTCTTGCGAATGTTGATTAGAAACAAGCTGATGGCGGGTTTGACTTCCTGGATTCTTTGCATTTCAGCCCTCCAACCGTGTACAAAGCCAGAAATGTAAAATCATACAGATTGTTTGTCTGCTTGTAGCGTATAAGTCGGGCGGATCTTATGGGTTGCGTGAGCATGGTTCTTTGTATGCGCGAGCACAGTATACTGTGAGACTGCGTGCCTGAGGCAAATTTATGCATTTTTATTTGAATCCATACGGTGCCAGAGCTCATGTTGTTGGGGGGCTGTCTGGATATTCGTCTGTACGGATTTTTCATTTCGAGACCTACAAAAGTTACAGGGCTGAAACTTTGGCAGCTTGTACGGTCCCCTATCGTCAAAATGGTTGCTCTTGCCTGCGTAGTTCCTATGTGCGGCTCGCGACAATTTTTGGCGGATAAATTGCGAACTCGAAAACAGAGAAACTAGAAAGCTAAAATTTTAAGGGGATGTTTTCTGTTAGTCGTAGTGGTCAATTTCAGTTTTTTTTTTAGCTAGAAGCATTTACCGGAAAAAACAGTGCCGTAAGCAAAAAAATCTACAGGAAAGTGTGCAAAAAATGCATCTTCACATCAGCAGTCGGTGCGTTGGCGAATTATCTACTAAACGGAGTGGAAATTTGGTACTATATGTGTGTATGTGGTCGCTGTTTTGCTCGTTGGTTCTTAAGTTCTGTTCGGTTTTTTTTTCTAGTTTTTAGTAAAAGGCAGTCTTTTGGAAGTGTTTTCTAGGAATCATCTGTTACAAGCAGACTCGGATACACTCTGTAGTGCGTGGATGCGTGCACTGCAAAGAACAATTCATTATTTGCACGAAAGTGATGAGCAGACAGTCGCAGAGGGAGCCGTGGTTAAATTCATTGATGATGGAGCTCCCGAATCGACATCAAATTTGCACCGCGAATCGTTGCTCACCGAACTGAGACAAATCCCTGGCAATGAAGTATGCGCGGACTGCGGCGCCAGCACGCCCAAATGGGCTAGCATCAACCTTGGTGTAAAATTTTTACTAATACAACCCGTTTTTGCCACGTAGAGATCTCACATTTGTCCTAAAACTCATCCGTGTTGGTTCTTTCAGGCATGAGATTAGTGCGGTATTATAATTCACTGCTTTATTTTTTTGGTTAGCATAAGTGTAACGCATGGCTGATAAGTCTTAATACATATGGCGGATTGGTTATTGTTTCCGTTGAGGGGTCATTCATCTCTCTGGCTTGTTTTTTCGATCCTTTTCATAGAGCATTTTGCGTCTCTCCTCTCACTTTGTATTTTGTTCTGTTGTTGATTTTTCACATTTTTCTGTCTGAGTTGGGTGCTTCCAGTACATCCTACACTGAAAATGAAATCATCTGTTACCTCTGCTAGTTACGGTGAATGCATTGTTACGCGTGTAGCGTTATTTTAATAGCTTTTTTAGGTTTTACTGTGTATCGAATGCTGTGGCATACATCGAAGCTTTGGTGTTCAAGTTTCGAAAGTCCGTTCTCTAGTAATGGATACGCTGGAACCGGAGCAGAGGAAAGTGTTGCTGGCGCTGGGCAATCGAGCTGTCAATTCAGTTTATCTTGCACACATCCCCACCTCAAAAGTTGTTCCTCCACGTCCTGTGTCCACTTCTTCGAGGTAAGCATTCTTTCCATTCTGAGCTTTTTGACTCAACAAAGAGTGACAGTGTTTGGTTTTAAGGATGACATGATGTTTCAGGGCAATGAGGGAAGCATGGATAAGGGCTAAATATGTCGAGAAGAGATTTGTGAGAAAGTGCAGCGAACGAGCAAGGAAATTCGCAGTTAAGCGTGCCGAAGGCTTCCATCGCAGAGTTCCTGGGCAGTGTTCGTTTTTGTTCTTGTATGTTTGCCAACCGCTCAAATGACCTGCTGTTTCTTCCAATTTACGTGCTTTTGTGGTTTTGGACCAGTCGATTCCGCCACATTTAAAGCTTTTTGCTTAAACATACTTTGATCAGCTGTCGCTTCTGTAGCACATCTTGGTGCCATTACTCCAGTGGACGGGCAGCTGTGACAAGCTGCATCACTTCATTTTTAAATCCCGGTGCTCTAGCTTGCTTCTTTTTTTTTGTCTTTTTTATGGGAAGAAGCGGAGGGTAAGGGGAAGGAGAGTGGGGGTGAGAATTTAATAGCTAATCGAAGAATACCAGGACTCCGAAAAGTAGATGTGGTTGTGCTGTTATTGGATTGCCCCTGCAAGTAAGATACAGCCTTGCTGTATTGCCGTAATTTTCGATTCGGAGCTCTCCAACTACAGTGGGATCTACCACTTCCTTGATGCATTTGCACCGCCTTAATTGTCATTTTACTTCACTAATATCATTTGATGCGTAACTTCAGTTGGTAATCAGTAAAACTAGCAGCATGTCTTGCCCATCTGATTTTACCTTCTTTCGTAATGGCAGTAATGTTCTGTAAGTCGCCATCTGGCTAAGACTGTGAATATTTGTATGGGTTACGAAGAAGCAGTCCAAGCGTCAAACTGCGCCACAACCGTCATTCTTTCGTCTTTGACCGCGTTTCCGTCCATATGTCTTGAGCAAATTATCAAAGTCAGCATCATCTATCTGCCGTCTGGTGGCGGGCATAGCAGCGCTTTTCATGAAGTGCCTTTTTTTGATGTGTTGGCCTTTAAGCCTATTTCGTCTTGCATTAGGCTCCTTCTTGCATATTGTCACCCAAGTGCTGGACATGTGAGCAATAGTGTCTGCGTGACATAAGTGTTTTATTAAGAGGTGCTCGCTGTTAATTTTCATGCAATTTTTCTACATCGTTTTGCACCCTGTTATCATGAAACAAGCCATGAAAAGCGTAACTGATATGCGACCCGTCTGTCTCACGCCCCTTTCCTGCAAATATGAATTATTTATGTGCTGAACAAAAAGCAAAACGGAAAAAAGTTTGGGTTCGGTCAGCCTAAAAAAAATTAAAAGGGGTATTTATACAGTTTATATCTTGTGAATGTGTGATGAACGGGAAAGCCTGTTTGCGTGCAGTGACGCCTAGGTGATTTGTAAGCTTTTGAGTTCGCGAAATTATCAAATTATTTTAGCTATCAAAGTAACTTTTATGAAGTAGGTTTTCAGTTGTTTCACACTGATTGTTTTTTTTTTTTTTCAGCACCACATCGTTCGTCTTCCGATCAGATTGTTCAGCTCAGTCGCTGTCTATCAGTACCATCATCACAACTCGATGACGACGAGCAACAGCAGTTGAATGGTTATTTTTGGACACTGTTTTTAAATTACCTCAGATTCTGCTGAGCATACAAATGCTGATGTGCTGTAACACTTCCAGTGAAACTATTAAATGAGGCTAGATCGAAATATCGGCATCTTGATTTACTGGCTCAGACAAAAAAATTGGCCAACGCACGGGCTGCCCGTGCGAAGATGCGTTTTTTGCATGGTTCCCCGTAG